GTGAGATATTTAGCCTTCTGTGGTGTATCTTGGTTTCAGGAAAGACCTCCTCCATGACAGACTTGCAACAACAACAACCAGAAAAAGGTAGTTAAGGGTGAGTTAGATAATGCAACTGTCAGGTGGATTTATAGTTCTCTATCAGAACCCAAAAGATGCTCACCAATGGCAATGATGCCGCAACCAACTACAGTTCCCAGAAGTCCATAGGATTGAGCCCTGGCAGTTAAAGTTGTATTGAACCAGTTTATTCCTGCAGTATGGATGAAACCTCTGTCAGGAGTATGTTAGGGATCCGACTTGTTGCCACTTCATCTCCCTTACTTTTGAGTTATTTTGGCTTGGTGTACAGTGCGACGAAAGGACAGGCACAATCTTAATTTACACAAACAGAATGCTTTGGAAGGCAATCTCTCTTATTGGGAGTATCATGTATATATGAAAGGGATGTAGCTAGCCAGCTCCTGCCTATTGATTTTTCCTTACAAATACACTAGCCTCCATTCCACCCACAGTCATGCATGTACATTATTGTTTCAAGAAAACAAGAGAAGCCGTTCTCAAAGCATCATATAATTCAATGTACTCCTTATACAATACTTGGGATTATTTTTAGTTCTACAGAAAATTGTGATCTCATCCCTTTCTCTTTCCCTCTCCCCAAAATAATTGGAACTGATATCATAAATTCATATACTTATCATAAGTCCAACTTGAACAACTTGAAGGCACACAACAACAACAAATTCCACTATTATTTGTGTTCACAGGTTTTTCTTGTACTACAGCATGTTTTTAAAAGAACTGGGTTTTGTATCATTTTAAAGTGTTTTAAAAGTTTTACCTTTTTAAACTGTATTTTATTCTTTTAATAAGCTATTTATTTTAATATTGTAATAATTTAATTCCATTTTTATGTACCACTTTTCTGTGTTTTTAATTGTAGTGTTCTTTTAATGTCGTGAGCTGCTTAGAGTCGCAGTTCTGGGAAAAAAGCAGGATACAAATAAATATGAAATGTTATGATATAAAACTAGCAAAACTCACTTGACCAGAGATGTCAATGGAGTTAAATAAATTAGTATGCAGTATGTTCACCTCAAAGCAGCAAGGTTCTTACCAACCATACCAATTTCCAAAGAGAGAACTGTGTTATTCTGTTACAGGGATCTTGTGAATCCTTGGAGACTAAGAAATTGATCAAAGCACTATAAATCATGGACTATAAATAATAATTTGTTCCAGTGTTTTGTTTTGTTAAAATGCCAGCATTAGCCCTACCTCCACCTTTTTAAAGCATCTATTGTCTCTCTCCTGTAGACAAGCTAATTGCCATGTTGCCTTCTCCACATTTAGTTTCATGGCACATCTATCAGGAGCAAAACAGAAACATAACAGCTGTCCCTCCTATACACACATTTGGATGTTAGAAAAACCTGAGTGGGCAGTTTGAGAGACTATTCACTTCTGTCTTGTCTCCATTTCCTCTGTATCCTTTTGCTTTCCAGCAGGTCCTCATTTCCATCTGTTTTAAGAGAGATGCATGTTACAGGTACCTGCAATTGCATCATTAAAGATTTTATGCAGGGCATGTAAAAATTAAAAAGATATATGTGCACATAGTCACTACAAATGTAATCAACTTGATTTAGTACTAATAGGAACTACCAAATGGAATTTATGCCTTAAAAGTAAGTGATTTTTTGAAAAAAAAAACATAAATACAAATACTTTGTACAAAACAGGGGAAAAATCTCAATCTGAAGAGTTTATTAGAGCCTAATCCCTCACCAACAAACGAAACTGGGGCTGCCCACCCAATAATCCTGACTGCCATTAAAATATTAAAGATAAATCTAATCGTCTCTTTATCCAAAATAAGCGACTTTTATGTTCAGGGAAAATGTCTAACCCTTTGGGAAGAGAATTACTCCTAATGTATCAAATGGAATTCAGTCATGAGAGTGAAACTGGGTTTAAAATCAAATGAGATCGTAATAGAGATAAAGCATAGTATGACAAATTAAAAACACTCATTTACATAAATTAAAATCCCCCTAAAGAAGGTGCAGTATTGCAAATGGGACTCCAGTGGACAGTCTTATTCCCTCCTTGTCCAAAGGTGATCTACCCAGATTGAGATGTTGAGTATAATGTATATTGCTCCAAACTCAATGATCATTTTCACATCTGCTCTGACCTATGAATCTCTCTCTCTCTCTCTCTCTGTGTAACTTCTCTCACTTTTGTCATTTCCTTGTTGTGAGTCTCACCCACTCAGCAGATTGTGATCCAGGGAAATCCAGTGGAATGAATATGTTTTGATCAGTTTTGATCAGAGTTTAGAAAAGTTGCTTTTTGGGGCTATAGCTTCCCGAATCCTCCAGATAGCATACTCGGTAAGCCTGGTAGTGAATCGCCCAGGGATTTCCTGCATGCAAACCATGTGCTCTGTCACTAAGCTGTGGTCCTTGTCCATCCATCTCAGTTTCTCATCTGCAAAACAGGATTGTTAATGACCAGCATGACTGACTTTCCATTTGCCACCTCTTGAGTGTTAGTATTCCATCTTGAAATGTGGATTCTTTAAACCACTGAGAGTACATTGTTCTTCTAGTAGTACTCCTTGCTATGGAAGGAATTGTTCTTTTTTGTGTTGCTTTTTTATACCATGGGAGAAAATAGCTGAATATGGAATGAATCCTGATTTCTTGGTCATAGGAATTCCCAGATCAGTCCAGTTTGTGAGACTTCATCAGCTCCTCCCCACAAGTTTCAAATTTCAACATTATTATACAGCTATGAAGACTGGAAACCTTTTCATTGCTATACTTTTTATTTTTAAAGAAAAAAGAGAGTAAGGGTATATACATACAGCAGATATTTTATCAGAGGAAATATACTGCATATGATTGAAAAATGAAAATGTGACGTGCCAGTGGCAGTTGCTTAAATTATGTATATTGGTAATTAATATATGTACTTTGTGTATAATTCTGGTAAATTTCTACAATATCTAAGATTTTTCTTCAATCATTTCTAAATCAGATCCTTCCCATCCCACCCGATTATTTAGAGAATCCTTGTAGTGCCAATTTCTGTTCCAGCTAGCAAAAATATAATGTCCACAGCTCAAACTATGTACAATACATGTAACCCTGATGTTTTTTTCCTAACAATGTCTGACTTGTGTGTGCTCCTTCCATATGGTGTGTTGGTTCAGAGGCACATATCTCATCATTAAGAATGATGGGAGTAAAGGAGCTAGCTAATGTAATATCTTCCAGACGAAAGGAGGTTGTTAAGATAGGACAGGATCCTTTTGTGCTATTGGAGCATCAAGCTTGTGTCCTCCAGAAGCTTCACATTATGTACATAAGGAATGTATCCTTGGGCTCAAGTGCATATACAGTCTATCACACTCAATCTACCAGTTTGTAAGGAGGTTAAAAGACACAGGCATTCATCCTCTTGCTCTACCTGAAAGACAAACCTGTGGGGACATCTTCTGTAAAACAAAAAGAGTTATTTTTACAAAGCTTTCTCTTCAACCCAGTTTCAGACAACCTGAAATATGATGGCATTGTTCACAAAATATGTAGTGAAGCAAGTAGTAGATATTTTGTAGCATGGCATATTGTAGATATCTAAAGTAGTCTAAAGCTGTGATCTTAAGCACACTTATTTGGACATAAATACCTTTGAATGTCAAGGGGCATTGCACTGCAAGTTCTATGATTACAAAATGAGCTCAGGTTTTTTTGGAAGTGCTAGCATTTGTGGATGGCTTTTAACAGGAGGCTGCTGAAATTACATGACAGTTTCATAGTGGATGTACAATTAGTCAGATTAATTCTGTGATAGGTTCAAAGAAATATAGTAAACCTAAGTGAGCAAGCCATATGGAGACAAATCTAAACATTTTTTAAACAAGTAATCAGAAGCACTAATATGTAGGAATGATCTATATACCTTTCAATTCTGATTAATGACCTCTAACAGAAAGAACACTTATGAAATGTAATACACATACACTCCACCCAGAAAACAGGTCAGGTTTGATGGATACACACAAACACACACACTGTATATTCATTTGTCACCACTTCTTTTTGTAATATGACTGATAAGGAGACACAGTCTTTCTGCACTCTTGCTAAGGTTACTTGTGAAACTTTATTTTAAAAGACACTTTCAGATGTTCAGTAGAGTTTGCTTGCTTTACCAGAAAAATGTTTATGTAATTGTTTGTTGTTGTTTTTTTTATAAAAGACTACACCTTCTGCAACACTGCAATTCAACTTAATTAATAGATTTTTTTGTTTTTTAAAAATGGGTGCTCCCCTTCTTTCTCAAGTTCAGGAGCAAGACTTTGCACTATTTCTCCCAAATTAAAGGGTTCCCCACATTAAGGTGTGTGTGTGTGTGTGGTGTGTGTGTTTATTTGCATTTTCATTTAAAGAGGGTTCTGTCCTTAAAAAAAAATCCTGAATTTTAAAATACAATGTTAATACTGCTGGTTTTATTATACTTTTATGATTTTGAGGCTTTTGATGTATTCTCTCTTTTTTGTGTTCTGTTTTGTTCTTTTTGTCACCTTCCGTCCCAGAAAAAGGAATTAAGAGCAGAATAAAAATCCTTATAATAAATAATAAGTTGCAGTGTGCCTCTATAGCTACATTTGCACAGTGATTACACTATCACTGTGAATATAATAGTAGAACAAATTTAATATTAAGAGGGAAGTAGCTCCTGTGGTGCTGAAAAAAAAATGTTGGCTGGGATCCAAAATGCTGCTTAGGCTCACAAAAGGGCATCTACTAGCCTAGTAGAACTATTTTACCTTGAGCAGTGACTCAGTATTATTGTTGTTGTGTGCCTTCAAGTAGTTTCCGACCCTAAGATGAACCTATGATGGGTTTTTCTTGGCAAGATTTGTTCAGAGGAGGTTTGCCATTGCCACTCTCTGAGGCTGAGAGCAGGTCACCCAGTGAGTTTCATGGCCAAGCTATGAATCGAACCCTGGTCTTCAGAGTTGTAGTCCAACACTCAAACCACTGTGCCATGCTTATTCCAAACTAATAATAAAAGATCACCTGTTTTTCAAATATGCTTGTTTTATTGTTTGGGTTTTGTGATTGATTTTACATGTAAGCTGCCTTGATAGCCTTGGCTAAAGGCGGGGTACAAATAAAATTTTATTATTGATTATTTATATTAAATAATCCCAGTGTAGCATTTGGAAAGACAGGTAGTAGTGTCTGAGACAAGCAACTCTAAAATCCTCTTGGAATCATACAATTGGTTTCACAGTTCTTTGAATCTTGGTCATGATCAATGTAAACTTTAAAATAAGTAAAGATCAGAAAATCCACTGTCATTCCCACTGCACAGGTGAGGATCTAGAGCAAAGAGCAAATGAGTGACAATGACATTTAACTACTCACACTACCTAAGTCCACATGTGAATGATAGTAATTCAGTTCTGACTGCACAAGAAGTCCACTGTTTGAACTAATATAATATACAGGCTATTTGATTCATATATTTAATGCCATCTTTGTACCCACTGGGCTTCTGTTTATTGTTACTAATTCATAGTCTGGAACAATGTTATTTTTATTTTTGCTTCTTTTTTCTGTACATAAATTCTTCTGTTGTTATAAACTTGAGCAAATAATAATAATAATAATAATAATAATAATAATAATGAACATCCAGACAGGATAAGGATGGTTCTGTTCTGCTGGGAGGATGCATGTGGATCAGCCTTTGGTGTCATCAAAGATTTCTGAGGGAGAAGTAGAGTGGTTTTAAAATTTACACTTTTATTTGGGAGAAAAATAGTAAAAAACAAGGCTTTTGTTCATTATTGTTTACACCCAGGAAACTGTATGGCTGTTTTCAAACCCATTTAACAAATGAAAATAGTAAGTGGAATGTAAAATTGATTGTAAACAATAGTTAGTTTTATAATAATCCTAACATTTAAAAGGTATTTCCCCCCCAAAAGTATTTTGCACTGTGTCACACTTTATAAGGTTGCCATGAGTTGAGGTTGATTCGAGGGCAGTTAACAACAACAACATATTTAAGGGCTTCCTTTTAACTGGTTATACAGTACTTTCAATTTATGCTGCAATATATAACTTCCCAAATGAGGTTCAAACAAGTCATCCTAATTGCCAATGGACATTTCATCAGAAATGATACCTTTATATTTTCCCCAGCAGGTATATGTCTGTGTGGCCTCCAAGTTACCTATTGACTTATGACAATCCTGTGAATTTCATAGTTTCCTTGGGAAAGAATACTTAAAAGTGGCTATGACAGTTTCATCCTCTGAAATATAGCCTCCAGCACCTGGTATTCATTGGTGGTCTCCCTTCCAAGTACTAACCAGTGCTGACTCTGCTTACCTTCCAAAATTAGACAATATCTGGTCTGGCTTTTGATAAAAAAACATCTAAAAAGAATCATAGTCCTACATATATAATATAAATCCACCTTCACCATTTGTGGCAAGAATAGAATTCTGCCATGCCAACCCATACTTTTAAGTTGACTACTTTTATGTTGACTTTATAGGGATGGTCTTAAGATGACAAGTCAGAAGCTACCATCAGCTCCAAATGTACTTCTTTTTAACTACTTATGGATAACAAAAGGTGAATGTGAAAACACATTCAGCTGACTCCAATGGTTGCCATTTTACTAGTGGCAAAAGTGAATGGGCAAAAACCAGTTGATAGTCCTAACTAGAGTAGACTCATGGAATATAAAGTCCATTGATTCAGTGGGGTCCACTCTAGTTGGGATCATCGATCAGATTTAGTTGAGGTTGCTGGTGCAAATTACTCATCTGTAGATTGTGGCTTTACTTACCTTTGCATTAAAGTTTATGGCAGTTGTGCTTTATGTAATCTAGGTGGTGTAATCTAGGTGGTGCAAAGAACTTTGCTGTAAGGATCAAAGATATTTTCTACAGTCTTTGACTGTATCTTTGAAATGTTCTCCCTGATGAAGTAAAATAAGTTTTTTCCCATAGTCTTTTATAAAGACTACATGTTTCAGACATTTATATCTACTGATCCTGTAATTTATTATATTTAGTGCTTAACTATTTATTCTATTCTCAGAAAGTACTTTAATGTAACTACTGTGATTGGTGCAGAAGTTACCCACCCAAACACAAGTCACACAGGAGAACATTAGCTAAAGATTGTTAATGCTTGGTCTTGGGGGGGGGGGAATATGTTAAATAGCGGATAGATATAGTTGATAGTGTGGATTCAAAGTCTTCACAAGTAGTAACATATTAAAGGACTCAAATATATTTTTCCTCTGGAGCCAGTCTACAAAAATACTAAATGTGCCTTCTAAATATTAAATCTAAAATCCTTATTGAAGCCCAAATTTGCTAGTGTCCCAGATTTCCTAGTGTCAACAATGGTGATCCTATAAGATGTGCCACATTGTAGCCTTCCTCTTTTCACTTGGTATTTGTTCCTAATTGTAAATCCTATTGTTAGTCCCACCTAGGGTCATTGACTCAATGGAAGTATTGACTTAGCAAGTTCCTACTAATTTAATGGGTTTATTTTAGTTTGGACTATAATAAGATTTAAGCCACATTATAATGCAAACTATTACTGCCTACAGTACTTTACTTTCTAGCTCAGCTCATTCTGGAGAATTTAGAGATCCCTACCTGTATCAGAATGAATTAGGATGTATCCACTGAAGAATTAAAACAGTTTTGCACCACTTTAATTGCCATTACTTTGTCCTACAGAATCCTGAGATTTGCAGTTTGGTGAGGCATCAGAGCTCTCTGACAGACTAGGCTAAATAACTCACCAAACTACAAATCCCAGGATTCTGTAGCATAGAGTCAAAGTGCTTTAATTCGGCAGTGTGACTATACCCTTAATGAAAAAAAAATCCAATTTGTTACACTGTGAACAGGGTAAAAAGGTTAGCAGCAAGTACACCATCTGCCCCAATCCAGATATGTAGGATATCCAGGACATATCTAGGAACCTTTTGGGACAGTGAAAAATAATGACAAACTATAATGAACTGTGGTTTAATGTCCCCCCCCCCTTCTGCAGCTTGTAAGCTCTGATGTTCTAGATGGAGAATGAAACTAGAGAAATAGTCAAGAGAAATGATGCCACTCTCTCCCTACAACATCCTGCCACCTGGGGCACTACTGTAGAATTTGTATACACACGGAAAAAGAATGAAGATGTAGCATGTATCAACTCCATGTTAACTTTCATGGCACCATCCTTCAGAATCCTGAGATCTGTAGTCTGATGAAGTACTTAATCCATTGCACTAAACTCCTTTTCTTATTTCCTGGGTCTGTTTAGCACTTTCCCCAGTTATTCCTGTAGTTATTTCTTTATCTGCTTTGGGGAAATAATCATATCTCCTTTGTGACAAAGAAGACTAAACTTGAATACATCTTCATTCTTTTCCCGTGTGTATACAAATTCTACAGTAGTGCCCCAGGTGGCAGGATGTTGTAGGGAGAGAGTGGCATCATTTCTCTTGACTATTTCTCTAGTTTCTCTAGTTTAAATTCCTTGTAGTGCAAAAGTCTGCAGCTGTCAGAGCTGTTTAGCAGAGAATTCTAAGTACCTCACCAAACTACAACTGGATCTACACTACATCTTTACCTTTAACTTCCATGGCTCCATCCAATGAAATCCTGGGATTTGTAGAGATACTTGGAATTGATGAGGTACTTGGAATTATCTCCCAGAAAGTGCCAGTGCTGTAGTTTGGTGCAATGGATTAAAGAGCTCTAACAAAAGATTTTAAGTACTTCATAAAACTACCAGTTCCAGAATTCCATAGGATGGGGTCATGGCAGTTAAAAGGGTATGAAACTTCTATAGTAGTGTAGTTTAGACTTCAAAGTGTAGAGCAGGGGTAGGCAACCTTTCCCCTTTAAGGGCCGAGGGACTTCAGCTCCCAGAATCCCAGGAGCTATTGGCCAACATGGGACTATTGGCCAACATGGCTGAGGCTTCTGGGAGCTGAAGTCCCTCGGCCCTTAAAAGGAAAAGGTTGCCTACTCCTGGTGTAGAGGGAGAGAGATTTTCTTAACAAGTTTTTCAGAAAGGCTGGGGTTTTATTAAAACTCTTAAGAATTATGATATAAAATAATTCCATGTTTCACTGTTTCTATTCAATTTTAATAAAATTTTGTACCTCAAGACAGTTTCAGTGATTTCTAATATGAACTGATATTTTGAGTTTATTGATTAAATATCATGTGCCCTTTTGTGTCCACTTGGTGTCCAAAGACTATGATTGTATATCCATTTGGGTACCATTACTTTCAAAAATTAAGCTAAGTATGGTTAGTTTAGCCTTCTTTGTCACAAAGGAGATATAATTATTTTCCCAAAGCAGATAAAGAAATAACTACAGGAATAACTGGGGAAAGTGCTAAACAGACCCAGGAAATAAGAAAATTATAGGCTAAAAACAAGGAATTACATTTTGTGGCTCACAATTAAAAACAGAATTAAGTGTACTTAAGCTTGATTAAAGTTCATTATGTTCTAAGCAACACCTTTATTTTGGACCCTACAAAATAGTGTGTTCAAAGTATTTTCAGCAATTTAAGACCCTTTTCTGGTAGCTGTTTATGAAATTCAGAAGATTCAGAAAATCCTAATGCCATTTTTTTAAAATTTAGTTGAGCAACAGTGCATTGTATAACTGCTTCTGTAGCTGCCTGTAGGTGGTACTATTACTCACTTCTATCACTCTTAAAAGAAAATGTGCTTTTAAAAAAGAACACTACAAAGCAGGTGACTTTACTTGGATGCACCTAAAAAGTACCTGTGGGGTCTCAAATTAATTTCTCTACTGTTGGTCTGATTTATTGTGTGGCAATGGGATTTCTAAGAGATTTCCCCCAGCTGTAATTCAGCTCTCAGGCAAAGATCCCACTCCCCCCACCAGGAAAAATATTTTTTTTTACTTGCCTTGCATCAAGCATATGAACCATACAGGACATAGGAAAAATTCCAAGCCATTATCAAGATCTAG